CTAATTGTCACATCTTTAGGCAAGCAACTTGAAGATGGACGCACACTATCCTGACTACAACATCCAGAAGGAGTCCACCTTCATCTGGTTCTCCGACTTCGCGGTGGAATGCAGATCTTCGTCAAGACCCTTACTGGAAAGACCATCACCCTCGAAGTTGAGGCTTCTGACACCATCGAAAACGTGAAGGCCAAGATTCCAGGACAAGGAAGGAATTCCTCCAGACCAGCAGCGACTGATCTTTGCTGGTAGGTTTTGTTCTATAATAAGCTGGTGCTTAGTGACTTGGGATTGTCATTCCCCAAGGGGCTGCTCATCTTTATCCTTCCACTGAGACGTCGTAAGCCAGTCTAAAATGGCTCAGTGGCCAGCGTCAAGCATAGTTCTCCCACCTAAATAGCATGGTGTGGATTGATCGCGTCAGAGGATGAAGTGGCTTAGCGCTGCTAGAGAATGATCCCCTCTCGAAGCACATGGCGTCATAACACATGCAGAGATTCCACCGATGTGTGAACGAATTGTAAACACAACTATTTTCAGGAAAACAGCTAGAGGATGGACGAACGCTGTCTGATTACAACATTCAAAAGGAATCTACTCTCCACTTGGTTCTCCGACTTCGTGGTGGAATGCAGATCTTCGTCAAGACCCTCACTGGAAAGACCATCACCCTCGAAGTTGAGGCTTCTGACACATCGAAAACGTGAAAGCCAAGATTCAGGACAAGGAAGGGAATTCCTCCAGATCAGCAGCGATTGATCTTTGCCGGTACGTTTTGTTGCACAAAAACTGCTACAAAGCGCCCTATTCTATCAATCATACCTATTATGATTTTCAGGAAAGCAACTCGAGGATGGTCGCACGTTGTCCGACTACAACATCCAGAAGGAGTCCACCCTCCATCTGGTTCTCCGACTCCGCGGTGGAATGCAGATCTTCGTCAAGACTCTACCGGAAAGACCATCACCCTCGAAGTTGAGGCTTCTGACACAATCGAAAACGTGAAAGCCAAGATTCAGGACAAGGAAGGAATTCCTCCAGACCAGCAGCGATTGATCTTTGCCGGTATGTTTCTGTTGTTCAAAACACAGACGTCCACAAAAACGCTAATTGTTTCTTCAGTGATACTTAGTAATAATGTTGTTTAGGCAAGCAACTCGAAGATGGACGCACTTTGTCCGATTACAACATCCAAAAGGAATCCACACTCCATCTGGTTCTCCGACTCCGTGGTGGAATGCAGATCTTCGTCAAGACCCTTACCGGAAAGACCATCACCCTCGAAGTTGAGGCTTCTGACACAATCGAAAATGTCAAGGCTAAGATCCAGGATAAGGAGGGAATTCCTCCAGACCAGCAGCGACTGATCTTTGCTGGTATGTTTTGAAATTGCATTTGTTTCACAGAATCACAAACATCATGACACTACTTGTTATGTTTTTAGGTAAACAGCTCGAGGATGGACGCACCTTGTCTGATTACAATATCCAAAAGGAGTCCACACTTCACCTTGTACTTCGTCTACGCGGAGGAAACTAAAACCATACCATTCTCTACTAATTTTGTTTTTCGCTATTGTGCATGATAACTGGTCTCCCAATGAACTCGTCACTGATGTGCTGTGAATAAATCTGTGTGAATTACTTGCCTCTTTGAAATTGTGCTTTAACAAAATTTGGTGTGTAAAGATGGACCGTATATGAGTGTTTTTTCAAATATCTTCAGCGTGTCCTTGCTTCTTTAAGCGGCGGGTTGATGCTTGATCCTGCTCAGAAGTTGCCAAATGTACAGAGGCGAGACCCAAGCCGAAAAGCGCCAAGTGAAGAAGGATAGCGGAAAGCAGCAAAGTGATGGGGGGAGGGCGAGGCTCAGGCCTTAGAAGCTTGGTGTCAAACAGGGAAAAAATTCCGTGAAGGTGAATGAATATATGCACAACTGTCAAGCAGTTGTCAGAGGATAGTTCCAGCTCAGTGGGTTTCTGAAGGAGAAAATATTTACTTCACGGCGGCACTGTGTTCGGGAGGCCCGTTTGAATTGGAATATCTGTAATGGGTAACGCCTCTCATTATTATTCATGAAGGAAGTAAATTTACCTTCAATTCCAGGTAAAAAGCCTTGATGAAAACCAGTCCAAAAATTTTGGAAACACAGCGACCCCGAGATGCCTGTTCCACCATGATTTTGCTCCCTCTGAGGGTCTACCAACGTGTTGAACCTTCGGTCATATCCTCCGTTTTCTAACGAAACACAGTCTCTTCCACGATCTTTTAGTGGGGGCTCATAAAAGAGAAGGCGATGTAGAAAACATCATGCCTTATTTGGGGCACTTTGACGTTAGTTTTTCACTGGCTAGGCTGTTTTAACACGTTGACGACGAGCCATTTTTCCCATGACTTGCGCCTGGGACGGCACATTTTTCTACATTGAAACTTGGTAATTTCCAAATAAATGAATTACCACGACCAAAATCTATCGAGAAATGCAAGAGCATGAGCGGCATACATCTCGATCTCTGCACCACCAATTTAAGGCTCTTATTTGTCCAATCTTCCGAATGCCCTTCCAATCTTCGAAATTCAGCGCCATTTTTACCAAGCAAAGTTCTTCCTATAAAGGACAGAATTGACTGAAAAGCTTGTCTCCAGGGTGGTTCGATCTCCTAAAGAACAATATCGCATCCCTCGACCCGAAAATGTTTGTTCTTGAAATTAATTTTATGAAAAGAAAGTGAAACAATCGAGCAGATCTTGAGTTATATAATAACTGTGGGACAGCATTGGGCGACGCCGTTCCACAAGACAAACTTTCTGTCGTCCACCATTGACGGAAATCCGTCGTCAACGCGTTAAGTGGACATGATATTTTTGTTGAGGGGTCGGTTCACCCGGTAGGGACAAGTTTTCAGGGAATTTGATGATCTATAGGACATTTTGGCGCGGGCGCTAGGCAGTTTTGTGGCAAGCGATTGTGATATTTGTGTTCAGGGGTCAAGCTAACCCACGAGACAAGTTTTCAACGATTTTGGTGACCTGAAGTATTTTGGCGCCGAGCATTTTCGCGGGAAACGAATGTGAATATTCGTGTTTTCAAGCTAACTCCACGAAACAATTTCAGCGCTTTGGTACCTAAGACTTGGCGCCGGCCGCCCAAAGGCTGCGGGCGTTGGGCAGTCCGGGTCAAACCACTGTGCTGTTCGTTTCAGAATTTCAGCCTACTCCTATAGACATCTTTTGAACAAATTTGGTTGCTCGCACGTCTTTATTATTAGAGCAGTATGCTGTCGGACAGCATTGTCCGACACCGTCCCATGAGACAGACTGGCTGTCGCCCACCATTGTCCGACACCGTCGTCAACGTGTTAAAGGCAGTTGGCTCGATAAACCCCTAAGACGAGCAGGATTAATACGCCTGGCAGGACGGAATTCCGCGACCCTGAGCAGGTGCTGGGTAGCGCCTTTTCTAAGGTGGTACCCTTATAAGGGCCCTATCAAGCTACAACATACCGACCCGAACGCCACCACGCCCGCCCGCCCACAAATGGACGACCGTACCTGATGCTCGTATTGCTTCATTTGCGAAGTAAAATATGAAGCGAAGGGATTGATATGAAGCGGCCGCATGCTGCATGGGATATAATATGAGTACATAAGTGCAGCCGTACCTTCCGTAGCGGTTACTGGCAAGATGCATACAGGAAACTCGTCCGAAATTGCTTTTTTAGGTATTAATAACGGAAGGAGTGTTCCTCCGCAGGGTTTGAATCGTTCCACTTCGTTGTTTTTCGCCAACTTTCCCCATATATAGCCGCCATTGTTTATTTAAAAGCCAAGCGACCAAATTATCGTTGCCATTTGCGACTTTAAGTGGACTTACTTGCCAACGCACAACCCATTCTAAATTTCAGGCTCAGTGTTGTGAAGGTCTTGTGATATAGATAAAAAGGTACATTAGGCTTTTTCTGGTACTGAAATCTATTGCAGGAGTTCACAGAAAGTAACAATGAAAGAACTTCGTTGAAAAGGGGTACACGTTCTGTAGAGGGAACATTTTTCTGAGCCCATACTTCTCAGTTGCCCTGCATTTCCTCAATAGGTGAGCTTTTTAGGCTGCTTTATATTGGGTTGCCCCAGCAAGTAATGGCGGACTTTTTCTCACTCAAAAATATAGGCTAAAAGAAAAAAAATTTTTCTATTGGCGCGAGAATTCCTTAGCCCTACATACGACAGTATTATTCTTAGTTTCCTTAAGTTCCTTTTTTCCACTAATATTTTAGTGATAAAAATGGAGTGTCAGGTTGACGAAAATTGAGCATTTTAGACAGCCTCTCTTTTATACCTCTGTTAGAATTAAAAAGAGCTAAAACCGCTTTGGGTTCCAGGTGGTAAGGCACATGCTGAAAAGGCTATGTCTCTTGGAAGTGCTAATAATACTTTAAGTGATTCGAAGATTTCAGTTTCGACCTCACAGACAAGCATCGGACCTATTCTGTCCAACTGAAGACCTACGGAATTACCTTATTATGAGTATCATGCCAAAGATTAAGGAATCGTTGGTTTCTTAAAAAAAAAACTCCCTTGTCATTATCAAGCATCACCTTCACTTGAGTGGAGAAGTTCAAAACTTAGTGGATGGGTTCCGCAAGCAAGATGGGCCCCCGCGCGATGCTCATTTAACAAGGTCGAAGCCCACCCTTGATAGGTTGAACCAACTTATGCTGTCATAAGACGCATCTTTCTTTGGTCGTATATACCACAAGGTTTGAGCTTCTTCTGTGAGTTGGAGAGCCGAGATACAATTCAAAAAGGAAGTTGTCGAAAACTCACTTCTGGAATCGACCCGAATTTTCCATTAATGAAATAAAAATCGGCGGAAATAATGAAATAGCAGGAGTAACCAACACCTTCACGGGGAGCAGGGATATTATCTATCAAAAACAATGCAGAAATATTGGAACTATTTGTTTCGCTTTTCATAATCAAAAATTGTCGAAAAAAAACGCATTACTTATTTGCCAAGCCCAATACTTTAGCGGCAAAGTTGTTCCACCGCACCAATTGCGGTCCACCAGGCCGTCGAAACGCTCCGGCAGCACAGCGACAAAAAGATATAGATAATCGACTCTAGCGTATTTATTGCCAAAACGTCTACCAGCGTGCACCAGCTCTCGAGGGCTAGGGAAGTATAGCTATTGATCTAGCGTCAGCCAGCGTCTAGCATCGTTCGGGAGTAGAGAGTAGGATCGACAACAAGAGGGTGGCAGGACAAACTGGCAGAGTATGGAAGAGTCAGATGTGGGTGGGGGTAGGAAGGACCATCGGCCGCTGGAGCTCGCAAGCACGCTAGATCGATTATCCATGGTTTTCCTACAGGGCACAGCATTCGATGGGAATTTTGGTCGAGCTTTTACGACCCCCTCCCTTTTTTTCAGGGGCTGGTACGACCCTCCCCCCCCCATGCTCGTACGATGTACGTCGCATGCTTACTACATACCCCCCGCTCGACGACTTTTGTGGCATCGCTACGGCGTTACATAGTACCTATTAACACAAGGAAAGATTCATAAAACTCAGTGAGTGAACCCACGTGGACTCCTAGAACAGAAAACGCAAACCCCCCCTTCCCAACAATGAGCAAATACGACCCCCCCCTCCAAAACGTCCGCAAAGCGAGAAAAATCAACTATAAAAATAAATTTTTTCCCAGCCCAAATACGACCCCCCTTTTGGCGGCCTCATACGAACCCCCCCATAGGGAATCCCCATCGAACGCTGTGCCCTGGGTTTCCTGATCGCTGGACCGCTGCTGAGCGCTCGGAACCTTTAGTGTCGCTGGTGGACGCAAAGCTGGAACGCAGCCTCACTCTGCGCTGCCCGATACTGACCAATCCATAGATCATATACAGTCGTGATCCCCGCAAACGATAGGGACTAGCCCGTTTCTCAGCTTGACGAAAGTTCACAGGTGTCACTAAACGCCACTCTTCTTCTTCTAGATGCGCACATTGGGCCCTGCCTGAAGCTCAACTCTAAACGTTAAGCTGTTCATCGAGCTTTCCTCTCCTTTCTCTCCTCCTGTTCTTCTGATAGCTCCATCTACCCCCTACATTACCACTAGACGATGCAAAAAACCCGCGCGAAAAACACAGGTACGCAACAACTACCTTGTTCGCTGCGGGATGAAGGGGCGTGGTCAAGCGGATGCGCTCGGGCGGCAGCTCACTCAAGAGGCTCATCCCCGCCACCCCTCCTCCTTTGGACACGCACCGGCCTGATTGTGACGTTTCCAAATATACTCCATATGCCGGAGTTGGGGAAGCGATGGGTGGCGCACTTCATTTTCAGCATGACTTAAGTATCCTTCTTGCGGGATAGTTTCTATTTCAGACAGGGACAAAATCTTGCTTTGTGCTGGTTAAAGACATGATTACAGCAGCCCCAAAAAGCGATTCTTGGGCTTTGCACTTGGCCGCTAAAAATTTCACTTAACAATAATTAATTAATGCAACGTAATAAAGTCACATTCACGGATCTCCTACGCGT